AATAAAATCATTTTCACTGATAAAAAAAAACATGTGGCTGATTATATCATCCTCAGAAAAGAATACCAAATAATTTCTTAGAAGAAGATAACAAATTAAAATCATGGATGGTACAAGKCTTGTGGAACTCACTGAAGCAAAGTGGTTGACATCTCGATGATGGGCTTCATCTGCACGAATAACAGTCACAACATCCTTCAGAGTGGCATCCTTTGGTAGCCTCCAATAATCAATGGCAATAGGAGGAGCTGTAACATTTTCAACTTCACCACTCTCGATAGCTTCCAAGTATTCAGTGTATGAATGTACTGCCTCCTCCTCCAAATACCCAACAAATCTGTGTGCCAACTTTGGGGAAAGCACATAGAGAATGAAGAAAGAGTTGAAGAAGACTCCCTGAACAGTAAGAACCAATAGTCTTTCATACCATTTAGGTTTCACAAGCTCCACCATGGTCATCAAATGCATCCTCTCATTCTCTGCTTCTTCAAGTAACGCCTTAATCCAACCACCAGTTTGCTGAAACTTACGAAGAGACTTAAGATGCARKAGCATTCCTCCTACCATGCCAGGAACAGCTGCCACAGTTTCCAGCATCATTGCATGACACCCATACCGCCTCTGTATCACAATTGAAAGGATAAGTAGTTACAACACCAATTACCTAACACTGAGAGAAAGTAAAAAATAACAATATTTGAAAACCCAATCCGGCACTCGCTGTTCATAAAAATAGTGGAAAAAAACTAGCATAGACAATAAACTTAGAATGATAATGTTTAAAGAAAATCCATGCAATTTAAAGTTCCATATCATATGGATAAAAGATATTCTTTGCTGAAAAAATAATGTTCCCCACCCTCATACCAACTCGAGATAGAGAAAAATAGAGGACGGAACTGACTTCATTCCCTTCTATGTAAATTTAAGAAGGGAGTCTTTTTATTGAAATTTCTTGTGTGGAAAGTGCTTTGGACACCTGGGTAAGCTCTCTTTTTGTGAAAAGTGCTTGGTTTTATCTTTTATTATTCTGAGTCTGTTGGTAATACAATCTACAGAGAGGTTTGGAACACCCCTCACCCCGTCCCACCCAAATGAGGAATATTGAACAGGTTACCTTAGAATCTCAGCCCTAGAACACTAAAATGACTCAACTGAGTATGGGCACCTGGATAAGCTTTTCAGAGCAATTTCTTTTWGTAACTTTGAAAATAAAATAAAGAATTTCTGAAGGGTACATTAGGTAAGACATTGATGAAGTTGCCTTTTGGAGCTCCAAGAAAGAGGGGAAGAAAGCAGAATTTTCAATTCAAACCAAAAGCTCATTTTTTGAACTTCTCAAAGTAAAAGGTCACCTTTCAAGGAAACTGAATAGAATATTCGTCCATACATGAGAGAGAAAAATGCTTAGAGACTTTTACAATTCTGATTGTGTTTTTGGTTACTAGTATTTCCGTTTCCGAGGACATTATCATCTGAGCTTGCTTCTAGCGGTTTTGATGGTAAACAATGCAGATATCCATGACATTTTATGTTTACAAGAAGCTAATTTCAATAGGTTAGTGAGAACCTTTTTAGAAGTATTTGGGGTTGTAGGTAGTGTGAATGTTACCAGAAATTGGACAGATGGAAGTACTTTAGTAGTCTGGGATAGTAACAGAAATGAAGTATCAAATACAAAGGTAGGTGCTTATTCGGTTACTATACTCCTTGGCTTGATTTCAGGCAACTTCAGGGGCTTACTTACTACCATCTATGAGCCTACTGACAGTTCAGAGAGGACTTCGTTTTGGGCAGAGCTGGGTGACATTACAGGGTGTAATGTGTCATTGCCATGGTGCTTAAGTGGCCTTTTTTTTAAAAAAAAAAAAAAGATAACTTTGATTGAAGACAAGAAAGAAAAAAGGGAGGGCCATACTGTACATATTCTCAAGTGGCAACTTCACTACAACAAGATTTTCTATGAGAAGAAGGGAGGGGCAGAAGAGATGCAAGTATTAGAGAATTTGAAAATTTTGTTAACAGAAGGGATCTAATTGTTCTTCTGCTTAGTGGGGCAAGATTCACATGGACTAATAATCAATCACAGCCTACTTTAGTGAAGTTGGACAGGTTTCACTATCTCACCAGATTGGGAGGAGGGCTTCCAATATTTGGCTCAAGTGCCYTGTTGAGGCCCATCTCTGAACATATGCCTTTACTTTTGGATAATGTTGGAAATGAAAAAGCTCCAGGTCCTTTTAGGTTTGAACATATGTGGCTGAAAGAGCTCGGCTTTGTGGGCTTGTTGAAGAATTGGTGGGTAGAGATGCAGCTCTCTTGGTCAGCCAATCATGCTATGTTTTTGAAGCTAAAAGGGTTGAAAGAAAATGGAAATCAAGAAATGGAACAAGAAAACTTTTAAGGGGTGGCAGTCAGAAAGCTAAAATTTCTGCAACATATAGTGGGCATTGACAGGGAAGAAGAAATAGGGCAAATTCAAGAAGTAAAAGGACGGAGGAAACAAAACTAACTTTTGACAAGCTTTCAGTTCAAGAAGAAATAAAGTGGAGGAAAAGATTGAGAAATTTATGGTTGAAGGGGATAGTAATACTGCATACTTCCGTAAAATGGCAAGTGCCAAGAAAAGAGTGAACAATATAAGGTGCCTAAAAGTCAATAGGGAGATGGTGAATGGAGCTGGAAGAATCAAAGAAGCAATAGTGGAATACTACTCAAACCTGTACAAGGAGAGTTTCAAGATATGGCCTCAGTTARATGGGCTACAGTTCAGCAGTATATCAGAAGAGGAAGCTTCAAAGCTGGTAAAACCTTTTTCACAGGAGGAAATATGGGAGACTGTTAAACAGATAGAAGAGACAAAGTTCCAGGGCCGGATGGGTTCACAATTCTTTTTTTCAAGGTAGGCTAGCATTTCCTCAAAGAGGACCTACTAAAAGTATTTGAGGAGTTTCACTCAAACGTAGCTTTGGAGAGAAGCCTCAATTCCAATTCTATTATTTTGGTCCCAAAGAAAGAAGATGCTTGTGATATAAAGGATTATAGACTGATGGAGGGTGATTTGGCCCGACCTCGTAGCTCAGGTACACATGGGCGTGACCTTGCTCAAATAGTGACTCAGCATGACAGCGCAACGGACATGAGTACAACTTGGAGGGAAAGTCCCACCGAGTTCAGCACGGCGACTCGGCGAGTAAACTATTCGTCGAAAGCCACCTTGCCCGCACCACCTCCCCGGGGTTAAGGCACTTCGGGGGGTCCCAAGTTCGGGGCTCCCTGACCCCTTTTGAGACCCAAGCTCCTCCCAATGGACCTCGGGCCACTCCTAAGCAAGAACGCACCGATTCTTCTCCGGACGCCCCGAGGCACAAAGACCTCGGGTCGGCAAGCTCGGCATAACCGGCTACAAGCAGCCCGTCACCCAAAGGACAGCCCAACTTAGGGTAATTCGCAGGAGAACAGTTCGGTATACCATAGGAGGGCTTCCTGCCCGACCGCCATACCCGACAAACCTGTGGACAGCAGGCATGTCCCCTTCGCCGTGCCTGCCACCCTTGGAAAGGCATCCCACACTTGACAGATACGTACCCTGCACGACGGCCCCGCGCGTGCCACCTCAGCCCTGCTTGTAACGGCTGTGGCAGACTGACAGTGGCGGTTATACCTGCCCTGTCAGAGGTCAGAGGGCCTGAAGCAACGGAATTCAGTTATAAGGGGCTTATTCTCAATGAACAAGGTATCTTGAATCACTAGCGCAACCTGCACTCTTAGCTTTCGTTTTCCTTCAGCTTCTTGCACACAATACTAACTTAAGCATCAGAGCGTTTCCGCCGGGAAACCCCCCGGGAGTTCTTCCTCTTTCCTCTCGTTTCAAGTACCTCTCAGGAGCCATGCGAGCGCCAGCTAAGAGTGACCGGATTGTGCTACATCATAGACCTAAAAGCCTAATAGGTAGTGTTTATAAAATTCTATCCAAAGTATTGGCATCAAGAATTTCAGTTACTTTTAATGAATGTATGGTTTTTTTTTATGATGAATGTATGAATTAAAAGAAAATTTTAACTTACAACTCTAAATATCTCCTTCAATTTGTATACCACAGATATGCTTGTGATATTGTTTTTACCTTGCTCAGTCACCAGAAATCCCTAATCATTATCTTTATTACCCATACAACTTTATAACTCTCAGCTCACGATAAAACAGACCATATCACAAACCCTGATTTCTCCTATCTTTGTTTTCAAATCTTCTTAATTTGTTTCTGAGCTTGTTTTTACCTTGTCCAGCAACTATAAGTCCCTACTTATTCCTTATAATCCAAAGCCAATTTTAAAATTTAAACACATTATTCTACAGCCTTTCAGCTTTTGGTTTTAAAACCTTTTTACCACATTCAAGTGTTCATAAAGCATCTGTTACCTTTTTATCTGTTGGACCAAATTTGAATCAGATCACTCTGGGACGTTATCAACATAAACATTTATCCAATTATTTGCCAACTTGATAATCGTATAACCTTGTTAACAGACTATCTCTCTAGTGCACCCACCACATATATATGTATCTGTGTGTACATATATAAGTGCTGTAAGTTATAAGCAGCAAGCTCAACAATAAACATAGGCATAACAAGGTAAAAAAGAAAAAGAAGTAGATAACTGACCTGAAAGAACATATCCGTGGGAATCCTAAGAAATTTCACCGTTCTATATGCAACTTTGTCCAGAAAGGTCTTAGGTACATGGTGTTTGCTCAGATCTATTGACAAATCAGCTGAATAAGATTCCCAAGGCTACAAAAACAGAGAAAAGAGTTAGGCACTGAAGCATACAAGAATACAACGAAAAAAACTACAGCGGTGATATTTATTAAAATTGGTGCATAATATCAAGGCCAGCAATTTAACACCAAATTGGTGCATCAAAACATCGGGCTCTTGTAGTGATATTTATTAATTAAATGACCGCTTTTTCTACTAACTAGTAATACATTTCATAATGAACTGATTCATGATATTTATATAGAAAATTGTTTTAATCCTTTATAAAATTCAATCAGAGGACTCTTGTTTGTCCTTGCTTCCTGAGCAAAGAAATGTACTTTTTCAGTCCCATTCCATTCCATGAAATTAAATTAAGTTAAGAATAACTGATTCTGAAGTAAGGTATGTGACCTTAGTCCATATATCATAATTTTTGCAGTCTCAATAATTTTCTGAATTTCTCCAAGGGTGGACCATATATGTCGGTGACACCAGATCAGTTTAGAGAGAAATACAAAATTAAGTTCCTAAAGCTATAAAGGAGAAGGGGTAACATACAAGGGCAATTTTGGGGGTTTAATATCAATAAAAGTAATATATTTAAAAAAAAATTAAAAATAGATTAATTTTTTAAAAATAATATTAATAAAGGGTAAAAATACTGTTCATCTTCTTCTTGCTATTTGATCATCAGAGCCGCCGTCTGCCATCACTCGCCACTGTCGTCCGTTGTCGCCCGCCACCACCTCCGCCTTTGTCAACGTTGCCGGAGATGGGTAGAGACAGAGGTGGCAGCGGCAGCGGCGGGCAGAGGAATGACCACCAGCGCCGCCACCACCTCTGCCTCCGGCAATATTGCCGGAGGCAGGGGCGGCGGCAGGTGGATGGCGATTCCGGTGAACAAATAGCAAGAAGAAGATGATGAACAGTATTTTACCTTTATTGATATTATTTTTTAAAAATTAATTTATTTTTAAWTTTTTTTTAAATATAATACTTTTATTGATATTAAATTCCAAAAGTTGCCCTTATATGTTAAAAACCCTATATTTAAAAAAAATTAAAAACAGGTTACTTTTTCTTAAATATATTGCTATTTGTTCACCAGAGTCGCCGTCCGCCATCACCTGCCACCGCCGTCCGCTGCCGCCCGCCGCCACCTCCGCCTTCGGCAACGTTGCCGGAGATGGGTAGAGACAGAGGTGGTGGCGGCGGCCGGCAGAAGAATGAGCACCAGCACCGCCGCCACCTCCGGCAACGTTGCCGGAAGCGGACGGCGGTTCTGGTGAACAAATGGCAAGAAGAAGAAGTGAAGCCTTATATGCTAAAAACCCAAAACAAAACCAGATCAACATTCTCCACAGCTTCAAACATAACTAATTTCCAGAAAAAGAAATCAAGGTCAGTACGTAATTTAACACCAGATCGATGTTATCTTCCAAAAAACTCAAAATACCAAGGCAATGCAACAGTTAATTCTATCATCAATCTCAGAGTTGAAATAAAATCATCTAAACAAAAGCGATAAAAATCAAGTGAAGCCTTACTCTTCCTTACCCTGAAGCAATTCCAAGGCCAAACCGTTCCGTCCTCCCTTGTAATCTTCGGCCGAGAAATTCCCCAATAGCTAGAAACCACGACACCGTTCTCCTGTGACACTCCCATCTGTCGTTCTGCACCATCCGCATCCGAATTCTCCTTTGGATCCTTCTCGGCCAGCCCAGTCTCCGCCGACGAAGACGAAGTGCTCAACGTCCGTCTCAGTTGCGAGATGCCCAAGAAGAGGTAGTTCTGATGCTTGACACAAAAAGTTTCTGCAGGTCTTACAGTGGTAAGCGGAGAAACGAGACGATTGCAGTTCTTCCCATGTAGGAGACTTAGGACCAGAGATCTAACCAGGTAATTTGTCATTTCAAACAAGACTCAATAAATGCAACAGTTAAGGGTACTCGGAGAAGCTGAAAGTATGGTTTGATTTTGGCGGGTATCACTGGTTATACACTTGTATCATGCAGTGTGAACGCCTCTCCTCAGGTCTTCCGTGGTGAAATCGTGGCGGAGACGGAAAACGAAAGAATGTAAGAGGTGGTCCTGATAAAATAATGAAATGCTTCCGAGAAAAAAGGAAGACGATCAACGCACGTTTATTTGCGAGTTGAGACGATTTTGTGCTCTCTATAGTCTTTCTTTTCTTGCCTTTCCAACATGTCAGGAGCAGTCAGTTGAGTTGACTGATTGACTCAGCTCTTAAATAGGAAAATATTTCCAAAAGAACCACTGCATTTCCTCATCCATGCGATCGTGACTTCCGCCGCTTGATCAAATATCTGCCGATTCCACCTGGGTATCTGATCTGTGGAAATAATCCATTTTCTTTCGGACTTGGAGTCGTGATGGTAATTTCAAGTTCGGATCTGGTGATCACAACACATTATTGGCCACGTTCACTCAATCGTACATCAGAATATCGATGATGTAACAGATGATTTTGATGTGCAGTTGGATAAACGTAAAATTAGCAGACCCTAACTCGCCACGTGGCTGTTATTTCACAACTCGAGAATACAAAGACAAGTTACTCACGAATTGTTTGAAAATATTTTCAGTAACAGCTGTAACATCTCGTGGGTAGAAATGTGGGAACAGCTTTTAGTATCCGAGTCCGGCGGCCAAGCTCATTATTGATGTTTTACTTATCAATAATTCCATTACAAATTAATAAAATTTTATGAAATGAAGTGAACAATAAAACCCCTAAATAAAAAACGGTGTGTAATGAAATGAAATTGAAAAAAGAATTAGCTTGAGGAGGGAGGTGTGATATTGGAATGAAGTTTGCTGAGGGAATTGATAATGGTAAAAAGGTTAATTAATATACGGCAGTCTCCAGTCTCCTTGGATAGTTGGATCCGTGGCCTAAAAGAGTTGAGGATCTATAGATCACAACCAAAATAACCCGATTAACTGAGGAGTGGCTCCCGACACCGATTTTGGGAAGAGGGGTTATTAGTGAGGTGTGTGATATTCAAACGGCTCCTACGAGGATTCGGCGTTTCACCAAAATGCCAAAAACAAACATATACCGATGATTCTCACCATGTTAATATGGGTCCTAATTCAATATTGAGATGTAATTTAAGCTTATTGCGTCACGTGTCCCTGGGTTCGTGTGGTAGCAAAACACGAGCAGAGGGGAGCAAGCATCGTAAGCATGGATAGTCGTAATTCCCCCAACCCAAATTCGATGTCTTTGCATTTAGTGCCCAAAACATACACCCTACGTTTACTCTCTTCAGGTCAGGACTCAAGCCCTACCTTCCTCCCTCCACCAGTTGCAATCACATCTCCGGTGGTCACCGATGAAATGGGTGACCAATTTGTCTCAACATGAGAGACAAATTTTTCTTGCCCAAACTCTCATATCCCTCTTTCTTTTCTCTTCATGTCAGGACCCAAACTTCTACAATAATAGACACCGGTGACTTGATTCTAGTGACTCAAACACGGGTGGCTGAGATTCCAGTGACTCCAACACAAGCAAATCTCTTCCAAAATCCTAAGAACAAAAGGCTGTTAAAAAATTTGTCTCTCATGTTGAGGTTTTTTGTTTCTCTCTTTCAACTGCAGAATACTCACATTGATGACCACAACTAGTTCTAAGTATTTTTTTTCTTCCAACTTGGTTCGAATGAATGTATTGTTTTCTAATTTCTTAAGTATTTTTTTTCTGGAAAGTTTGTTCATTGAGACCAACAACTTCTCTCTATTTTCTTACATAAGTTGTCTAGTTTTTCCTTATTTTTTGTTGAATAACTAATTTTTAATATATCATATCCCACTGGTGGGAGTCATGTAATTCTCCTTATGCGATGCATCCAAGAAAAAAATACACATACACTCCACTCTGCAAATATGCTCCTTCAGAGGTAAATAAGTAGATAACATAACAAAAAAAAAAGACTAAATAGTAGATAACATAAGTTACATTTATGTAACTTTTAAATCTGCAACCGCTTTCATATATTTTAGGACTCGTATAGCTTAGTGAGTTTTTGTATCCAAGATGGCAGCCATATTTGAGACATAGGGTACCACCTATCTAACCTCTTCCACAAAAGACTAAATAGTTTTTCAAGTAACCCAGATCCTATTCAACAGTTTCAACTGGGTTTTTTGATCTTGAAAGTTAGACATCAGATTCTTAGATTCATAACTACAAAACTTAAAAGTCAAACCATATTTTCTGGTACAAGCTGCACTAAAAGATTAATAACTTGTTTACATACTTTTAACCAGCGTTTTAAAAAATGACCCGGAAATGTAACCGTTTGGGCCACCAGTTTTTTGGTTGATGATCTGATTGTTCAGTTCGAATGGATGGTCTGTTCTGAAATATAAAAATAAAAAATAGTCAAAAATCGGTGAATGGGTTGACGGTTCGACCGCCCGGATCGATAGATTGTTGACTTTTTCAATGGTTTTTTATTAAAACCCAGGTTTGGGGTAAAACGGAACCACCAGTTGCCTGGACGGTTCCCAGGCCGAACGGTCTAACCGTTCRAATCAACTACGGTTAGAAAACCTTGCTTTTAACCATTTTGAAATAAAAAATGACAAATTGTATACCAAAAACGCTTAGTAATTGAAAGTTCGAGAAAACATTCCAACATGGTCTTTGGGTGTTACGGTTCTTAGACTAAAAATACATTAGGCCCATAAATCAAATGATTCCATTATCTAGAGCTCTAAATCATTGAATATAGGAATATAAGTTTCACTCTCGTGGCTATTTGGTGCTGATTGAAATGAACAAAATTTAGAAACAGATTTTAACTTTACTAAAACTTTAAATTAATGCAGAAACAATAGTTCGAGACCATGAAGAACTGAATGTTTATGATAGTTTCATTTGAAATGGTTCACTAAGTTATATTCAGATTGAAAACATCTTAAAAAACAAAGTGTTCATACAATAAGATTACCATCCGAAAGCAATTAAGATTTTATAATATCATGTGATGATAGTAACCTCAACCTGGTAATGGCACCGGTGACAGTAAAAAGAAAAAAACCCCTCGTATTGTCACCGATAAGATCGGTGGCCCTCAAAGAAAGCACTGCAACTGGTGGTGGAGGGCATTAGGGTTTCATATTTTCATTGCCGAAAAGAAAAGAGAAAAAGCAGGGGCTTTGAGTGGGAATGGAGAAAAAAACTAGAAAATTTTGGGAGTTTGGATCTCCTGTCCACGTTCATTGCAGCCACACATGGAGAACATCTCATCCTCTGCATATTATTATATAGGGGGGGAGATGTTCTCAATTCATGGGAGTCCGGATCTCCTGTCCACATTTATCACAACTACACATGGAGAACATCTCATCCTTTGCATAATATTATACAAGGGAAAATGTTCTCAATTCACAAGGGATAGTGTGTTATGGGTAAAAATGAACAAATTCTCGTGAATAGGAGATCCGAATTCAATTCATGGGAGATAGTGTGTTGTGGGTAAACATGGGCAAGATTGTTATTGGCAGGAGATCCGGACTCAAATTTTGGAAGGTGTAGAAGAGTAACCGCTAACGGAATGGAAACGGAATGGTTATTAGGCTCCTCCGCTCGTGTAAAATGGCCCCCATAGTTTTGGGGGACACGTGGCTGTGAGGGGACTTTTCTGCATTCTTATATGATGGTGATAGGTGGTATTGTTAATTGTGTGTTAGAACTTAGAAATGACAGAAAACACTCAAATGGTATTCAATTAACGCAAACAAAATGAAAGTCCATTATTTGACATTTTAGCTTGGCTGATGCGTGGATGTCCCTCATTAAAATTAAAAAATTATCATTCTGACAATCCCTCAATCATCTCTAATTCCTTATTAAAAAAAATCCATGAATGATTAATAATATGTGTTCGCACATTGGACTCCATCTGCCACATTCCATGCTCAGCAAAAAACGAAAAATCTGAACCGAATAAAAAATCCGGTTAGTCAAATCGATTGGTAAAAAATTGGTGGTATTGTTTCAGTTTTCGGTTAAGAAAAATCGAAAATTAATTGAGTTGAATTGACTGGTATATATATATATATAATATTAAATAAATCGAAAAATCAAATCGGTCAAAATAATCGATTGATTTTGGTTTGTTTTCAAAAAATAGCTCATGGTTAGATTAACCAAATAATGAATACCCCTACTCATCACAGGATGTATGTGAGGATATGAGATCATATCTACTATTTACACTAATATCACATTGAAGCTACACATCGGGAATATTTCCCATAATTGTTATGTTGTTTTATTATTCATGGAAAGATATTCCTAATGCATGCCTGCAATGTGATGTTGATTGGTGTGAGATGTGGTCTATGAGGAGTAAATGTAGATTTCATGTACGTATATGTTACCTCAAAATAAAATAAAAAAAAGCTTTAAAGCGTTGTAACAAATAAAATTCAATTTAAATCATGATTAAAATGCCTAATCACCACCAATAAACAGGATTAAGTCTAAACATTGTGTTTGTGTTTCAAAATGAAACAACCCACGATATTTTTATGGTCGTGTTTGTTTTTTTAAATTCTAAAGGGGAGAAAGTTGGTTAATGAGATTGTGGTTCCCATTAGGACTACAAATGGATCATATCATATTGGATTTGGTAAAGGATATATCCAATCCGAATTGCTAGGAGTGGATTCGAGCCGAGCCAAATACTTGGCTACTCAAGCTCGGCTCGCTGAAATAGTCTTAGGCTCGAGCTCGAGCTAGAGACTTGAGCTCGAAGTCGGCTTGGTCCAAAGCTCACAAGTTCGAGCTTGGCTTGGTTTGAGCTTGACTACACGCCAAGTTTTTTCTAAAAAAATAAAAATTATACATATAAAAATATTTTTTATTTTACATACAACAAAATAAGAATTATAAAAAATATTTGTTATTATACATATAAAAAAGTAAAAATATACATATAAAAAAGTGTTTATTTTACATACAAAAAATAAGAATTATAAAAATTATTTACTATTATACATAAAAATAAAACATTATATAAAAATATTATTATATATAATAAAAACTATTTATTTTATATATTTATATATGTATATATATGTATGTGTGTATGTATGTATGTATGTGTGTGTGTATAATAAAAAAATATTTATTTATTATACTAGCCTCACGAGTCGAGTTTCACTGGGCTCGAGCTCAGCTCAAAGCTCGGTTTAAATTGAGCCAAGCCAGGCTTGAATAGCTCGTGACAAGCTCGACTCATGGGCACCCCTAAGAAATCCCACAAATCCAAATCTAATAAGAATTTGTCAGATTTTTCAAGAGTATGATTTGAAATTGATTTCAAGTATCTTATCCGATATTTGATTCGAATCTGATTCGATTTGAATTGTAATAAAAAAAAAATTGATGATTGAAYATAAATAACAATATAATACAGTAATATTATAATATATAATATTTCATAACTAATTGATTGGGTCGTGGTTGATTGGATTAGGGTATATTCAAATTTGATTGGTTAACTAAATGGATCAACTTCCCCCCCGACCTGACTTGATTTGTTGGGATCAATCATCAATGGGTACTTGAATTCAGCTCTTATTGGATCGAAATTAGATTCAAATTGGACTTGATCCAACTTATTTGCAGCCCTTGTTTTCATTGACCAAGATACTATGTTTGTTTTTTAAGTTTGTGTGGAATTAAGTATAAAGATTGTTTCCCTGGATACGACTCTCACTTAGGCTTAATTTGGAAGGAGTATAAATACAAAATTATAGAGCATAAAACCTTACATTTTCTATTATTTTGTATGTATTTATACTGTACATATTTGCATTTGCACTACTTCCAAAATGAGCCTTAGGCGACGTTTGTTTGAGGTGAAAACTTGAACCATTTGCATCTGTTGGTTTGAGGTGTTGTTTTACACCGTAAACCAGCGTAAAACTCCACTGTGCCCAAGTTTTACATCGATAACTGGTGGAAATTTATCATTGATAAAATCGATGTAAAATTCCATCGTCTTCCCCATCGGTGTAAAGCTCTCTCCTCAGACCTCTATTCATTGCAACGTTCAAACAATTACCAGGTATTGTTCTCTATTGGCAACGGTGCAAGTTCAGTCTTCCATCATTTTTCCAATATGGAGGAACAGATRTGAGGAATGAATGCATCAGTCTCATATATGCACCATTTTGTTCCCATTTGATGAACAAATCTGAGGAAGAGATGCATCGTTCTCAGATTTGCCCCTATTTTTTTCTCTCACGGATCTGAGGAACGGATGCATCGTTCTCAGATCTGCCCGCATTTTCTTTTCCTTTTTCCTCAGATCCGCCCCATCGTTCTCATCGGTTTTTTATTTCTCGCCATTTTTCTGCTCTAATAATGGTCCTGTTCATCGTCCTCAACATTCCAAAGCACTATTCTCTCCGCTTTCTTTGTTTTTTTCCTCCGTTTTTTTCTTGCTCTTTGTTTCTCTTATCTTCCTCCTATTCTCTCCGCTTCCCTTTCCATCTTCCTTCTCGCCAGTGACCCATTACTCATTCCCTTCTCTGACAAAAGCAGGGGAGTTGCAGTGGCGATTGGCGAGTCTTTCCTCTTCGTTCTCACTTGAATCCAGTAAAAACCCCCCTGTTTTTTTGTTCTTCTTTCTTCCTTCCTATATTTCCTACAACATCTCACCATTTCTACCACTCTAGTCGTTAATTGACCACCCTGACGTGCCTCATCTCTGCCTCATGGAACAGAGCTACCCGTACCTTTGTTTTTTTATTCTTCAATGTGCAATCCATCACCTAGGGCTTAGGCATTATTTATTAGTGGAGTTTTACCTGATGGGGTGGTGTTATCCAAACAACTGCAAAAGTGCAAATTTGCTTTTACACCTCAAACAAATGTAGCCTTAGGAAAATTGAGCTTTTCAATTAGAGAATAAATGCTAAAAATTCAAAAGGTCAAAAATACCTGCAATTAAGGCTCGAGAGTTTCTCCGCTCCTTGCAACCTCATTGGATCCACAAGGGGTAAAAATGAGAAAAGATTAAAAATTAGCATCTTACCCAAAAAGTGTGAGGCAAGACAACATGGGAAAGCTAAGGCTCAGTTTAGAAAGAGTTATAATGCAAATGTTAAAATGCAAATACATACAAAATAATACAAAATATAAGATTTTACACTCTACATATTTGCATTTATACTTCTTTCAAACTAAGCCTAAAAAACCTCATTTACCCATAAAAATTAAAAAAAAAAATCCACTTACCTAAAAAAATGGCCTAAAAAAAAATTTAACTTCCATCATGACAAAGTCCATTAGAACAGTTGTTACAGCCTTGCATTGAGAATATCTCTCTGCCTACGTGGGGATATATTCCCAACTGCCTACGTGCTTTATTTTATGGGATATATTCCCAACGCAAGGTTGGGAAAAATGGTTGGAATGGTGTGGGCACGGACTTGCCCCAACGAAAACTGATCTCCATGAAATAATTGAACGGGCCTAGCTCAAAACACCGTTAATGGTACCAAACCCACATATATGCAATTTAAAATTTGTTTTGTACTACTGAAATTTCTACCTAACACGGTTGGGAGGAATCTAAATCTGTTCCTCACACAGAGCGCCTCATAACCACCTTACAGACACATCCCATTGTATATTAAAACATCTTCCGTAAAAAATAACACATAAATACATGTTCTCAATACACACTGAGATGTGCCTACGAGATCTGTGTGAGGCGCCCTAGATCCCGTCTCCCTTGGGAACTATCAAGTATCAATAATACAACTTTTGATAAATTGCTTTGTCACATTTCGAACCAACAACCGTACCAAATGTTGTATTAATCAATTCAAAACATGTAGGAAAAAAAAAATTGCATAGTTGGCAGTAGTACCGATTACCAAATACAACGTGAGAGCACGTTATAGAACATACCCAATCCACAAGCAGTTATCTGGTCACCGGTTTAACGGATCAACCAGATGATCTGTCTCACTGTCTGTAATACTGTGAAAAAGCGTTGAACCAGTCTGACGTTGGTCACCAGCTGTCGGTTCATCCTTCCCGGTCAATAATGGTTTGACATTTTAACAGTGAATAAAAAGTCACCGAGTGCAAATGGATCACTCTACCAAACTGATTCATAAAAACAACTGAAATGAAACCAACTTGTGTTTCAAAATAAATAAATCCGTCACCGACACGATACCGATATTCTCTCGCAAGAGATTTTGTGTGCATTAATTATTTTCCACGACGTACTGATGATTCAATAAATCGGCTTTCACACTTTAACCGTCGATTTGGTATCTGTAGATAATACCCTACTTTCTATTTAAAAATGTCACAGATCTTTTAACACTGCGAGCTGCGATTAAAAGTACACATGAACTTCGCTGTCTCGTTGATTTGGTATTGCAGCAATGTTCCTTCGATCGGATGGCCAGGAACAAGCAAAACACAGGTGTCACTGTGTCTCACCTGATTTATATTATCTGACTTTGGGCGTAGCGTGGAACGACCCGCGAACCGAAACTTGAAAAGGGAAAAGCCGGAAAAGCAACGGAAACAAGGAGCGGAACAAAAAGAGCTGAAAGTGTGCGGCGATGGAAACCAAGCAGAATCCTCCTGCTTCTGCTCCTTGTTGTCATTGCAGTCATTCTCGGCGTCCCAATTTTATCCGATCCTATCTTCATCAAGCTTCAGGCTGACAAACTAATGCCAGAAGCTGAGGAAACCCTAGAAATCCAGTATCGGAAGAAGAGAGCGGCTGCCACTTTATTGGATTCCTCTGTCGCATTGTCAGAATGCTGGGTTTGGAGCTGTGGTTTAGGGATTCGATTGCTTGTCAATCGTCTGAAGTTCCAGTCTTGAAGGATTCCAATTCGATTTTCTTCTTAGGCGGAGGATTGTTTCTCGATTCTACTGTACCGGCTTGGTTTGTTTCTTTGATTCCGTCCAGGAATTCTTCAGTTACACTTTCGAGTTCAACTTTTTCTTCCTCTTCCTTGTCATCATCATCATCATCATCATCTTCTTCTTCTTCTTCTTCTTCTTCTTCTTCTTCTTCTTCTTCTTCTTCTTCTTCTTCTTCTTCGATTTGTTGTCGGAAACCAGTTGTTTTTGAGGTATTCCGGCGAGAAAAGAGAGAGTATGGAGTAGTMAGTGATGGTTTTTTATCGGTAAGCTTGTCTGTTAAGGGGAACAACGGATATGTTCAGGAATCCAACGTGTTTTTGCCTCAAAATGGGGAGAAGACTTCGGAGGAGGCGGTGGCCTTTGAAGAGAGTAAGGAAGAGAAGGGTAAGTTACAGGGAGAAGGTGCTATGAACACCACGAAGCATCTATGGGCTGGAGCAGTTGCTGCAATGGTTTCAAGGTTTGTTCTTTTAATCTGAACTCTAAAGTAGGCTTTATTCACTAGATATAGAGAAATTTGTTACTCCTTTTACTGTTTTTCTTCTGTTGCCAGATGACAATGTTTATAATCATTTTGGCTACCCTCCTTTTGCAAATCTACTTAATTGCCTTCCATCTCTACTTGCAATATGTGATGGAGGATCTGCCAAATTTGCATTTTGATTGCTTGATTTGATAATTTGAAGCTTCAACCGCTGGGAATCCGTAGGTTTGAAATGTTATCTCTGCGGAGAACTATAGCAAAAAACAATTCCGAGGATATAGAGAAGCGCAGAGTACAAATATTTTGCATGGTTTGGAGTTTGACCCAGTTCTTGGGAGAGGAAAAAATGTTTTGCACTGCGAAAGATAATAGAGATGAATACTAGATTCCGTGTGGTTTTTGCCGAAAAACTAACCATCAACTCTTGTACAACTGCTCTAAAGCCTAAAACTATTTTTTAGAAAACCATTTTATACCTCCTTCAGTATAATGTCCTCATATAAGACACTCTCACTTTGAACGACGACCATTATACAAGATTCTCCGGGCACAATGGTTTTGGCCTCCATATGTATTGTACTATATTTCTGTTATGATTACAATAAAATCTACCTTTTGAAAGTTGTACCAAACAAGACAATCTATAACCCGGTGTTTTAAAACACGGAGGCATGAAGCAAGGTGTTCCACTACTTAGAGGCGTGAAGCATAGTTCAGAACATAAGAGGCACGAAGTTGTAGTCCCAGTCCACTTTCTTTTCTCTTATCTTTTCTTCCTTTCCCTTTCTTTTCTTTCTTTTTCTCTTTTTTTTGTTCTCTTTCTTTTTTTTTCTTACCCTTCCCTTTCTTTTTCCTTTCGTTCTTTTTTTTTTTCTTTCTTTTTTTTTTGTCTTTTATATGAGGTGTGCATGAGGCACACGAGGCGTATGCCTCTAGTACGTTTCATGAAAAAAGCGTATGAGGGCACCTGAGGTGTACGCCTTAGAGGTGTCAGCACCTCTGGCCTACGCCTCAGGGCATTTTTGAAGGCATACACCTCCTACGCTTTTTAAAACAGTCTATAACACCAACTCCATCCAAAAGTATTAAATAGAAAAGAGTGAGCTACAGTGGAGCTTATCTTAGTTGGAGTTGGCTTGAAGTCAGAGTAGGTAGAGTATATCCTAGTCGGCTTAAACCAATTAGCTGACAATACTAATCCAGTCACCAGAGATAGAGGATTAGATGGGGGATAATCTAGGTAGGGACATGAGAATGCAGTCAAAAGAATGAGTTATAGTGAGAAAGAAACTTCGAGAAGTTAAATAGCTAGCTCATCTCCTTTCAAAAACAACCTGCTTCGAAGTGAAGTAGTTTACGTACCTAGGGAGGCTAGATGCCTTGTCAAATGGGTATTTAATCTTCACACAAATAATGGGATCGACATTCAGATAATCATAGTGTATGCAATATCTAAGAAACATATTTGGTTTCCCTTTAAGGTGAAAAGATAAAGAGAGCTAAATGAGACAATGTTGTTGCTTAGGCAGAGGACTAGAGGTATTGAGAAAGATTTGAAGTCTCATGCTTTGACTGAAGATATGGCCTTTAATTACTTAGCTTACCAATTAACTCTTACTGAATCCCTTATTGTGTTCATCTGGAGTTGATTTACCTTTTTATGTCCGTTAAATGTGGTTTACCACATTTCTTTATGAATCAATTAGTTAATCAATACTCTTCACAGTAGTTGCTTTTTTGTGTGGAACCAACATATGAACTTTGTAATCCAGGTGCCCATTATTTTGGAATCTAATTGTGCAATATCTGTTGCATTAACATATGGATCTTGAGAAAATAAGTCATCTATCAGTATCTTGGATGATTCCTGCATTTATCTTGTTGAGTGGCCATTATCCAATATATCTTTTTCTTGTTTTTTCTTTCTTTCTTTATTCTTTCAAGTGCCTTCTTTCTTTTTACGTTATCATTAGCATCTTCACCATTTCACATAGTATGCTTTAATGGGCATTACTGTTATGTGTATCAGAACTTTTGTTGCCCCACTTGAGAGACTAAAGCTGGAATATATAGTTCGTGGTGAACAAAGAAATCTTTTTGAGCTCATCAAGACAATTGCAGCTTCTCAAGGCTTGAAAGGATTTTGGAAGGGGAATTTTGTCAACATTCTTCGTACAGCTCCATTTAAGGCAGTAAATTTCTATGCTTATGATACATACAGAAAACAACTACTTAAAATGTCAGGAAATGAGGAAACAACAAATTTTGAGAGGTTCCTTGCTGGTGCTGCAGCTGGCATTACTGCCACTATTCTCTGCTTACCAATGGACACGGTATGTGTATATGAAAAATTTTTCTTGTGATGACAATAATTTACTGAAGAAGCACCTAATTTTGCTAACCCATCTGCAAGAACTTTGAGTTCCCTTGGGATCCAGTGCAGATTGGCATTTGAAGCTGCCAATAAATCCCTTGTTTCTGCCAGGAAGTGACTGTGATATGACCCCCCCCTGTGTAGTTGTCAGGGGTCTGATCCCTGTTTTTATTTCTTCTTCTCCTTGTACACCCTCTTGTGTACCCCTCTTTTAATGAATTCAGTTAACTTTTCTCAAAAAAAAAAAAAAAAGAACTGAAGGCAGTTTCCTTTTTTGTTTGAACAGTATTGTATTAATCAAAGACATGTCATTAAAATGAAAGGCAATTACAAAATAAGGTTATATGCATGATTGGAAAAATATCAAACATTTTCTTTGGGTGATTTCTTGTCATCAAATTGCTGTAATTATTTTTCAATAATTTTTCCTTTACTATAAAAAAAGTCATATCTGAGCTATACAAAAAATGTGCTGCACACAAGACCTAAGGTAATGATGACCCACTATACAACCTTCATCCGTTCGCTCCAGATCTATCCGAAGTGCCAAACCATCTACAATGGAGTTCAAACCACTAAGATTCCATCTTGAAACCAACATGCAAGTGCCCCTAAAAATCAGTTCTTATTGACCTTATTTGACAATTTCCATGGCCCTACGTACCCCCCCCCCCCAAATGGCATTTGCAAATCTCCATCTAGGATGGAAAATAGATTCTGGGAGACGATACAAGGTGCACAGATAAGTTGTTAGTTTTGCTTATACACTCTCAATGATGGAGCCCCTACCCCCTATATACCAAAACAGTCCGCCTATCTCTATGAAATGAATTTCCCAAATTCCTTTGGGTTCACTGTTTCCCTTTGTAAGTGGTGGTTGGTTGCACTATGAACAGTCTGTCATTCATTATAACATGAAACTTAATGTATGTAGCCTATGTACAAGGATTAAAGAATGTTAAAGACAGGATGAGCATGAAGAATTGAATTTCCCCTTATCTTGAACATGTGGAGCACGTCCAGGGTGTGAGGTTCCAACCATCATAATTGGTCTCACCCAGGAGATCTCCTAGATGATATCAGACCTGTATTAAATTAAATAAATGAAGTACTCCTGATATGATCCCAGGAGGAGAAGCAAGAGAGAAGAAGAAGAAGAAGATAAGAGGGAGACGAAGAGAATAGGGCAAACAGTCTCTATGAGAGAGGCAAACTGCCGCCCCAATATGTTATATTCAAAAGAAAGAAAAATTACAATAATACCCCTGTAACACTTATATGCGAACAGACAAAACAGAACATAAAAATATATGGAAAAAGACCAGAATACCCTACAAAGACACTGTATTTTAACACTACATCTTTAGGTGGCCCATCTAATGATGGCTTCTAGTCTTTCATATGAATCAATTTTGCAGCAGAGGGAAACCTCTGTTCTTGTACTTTGGGAATTCATCATGGCCTAATTTTATGGGTAACAGCTGTTTGTTTCTGCATTAATCTGGTTGTAGTGAAGGAATTGTTTTTCTAAAAATAAATTGGTTTTTTTATATGTAAAAGTAAATTGGTTTATACTCACATAAGTCAGTTTTTATTAGAACTTAATAAGTTTATAATAAAATGGCAAACTGCAAGAAAGTCCTTACATCTTATGGCAGTACTATGAGCTTTTCAGAAACTGGGACAATCGTTGCATTCCTTTCTTCTCTCTTTATACGCATCTTCATCTTTTCAGTTTTTGAGATCATAGATTACTGAGATTTTTCTAATTGGATTCATAATTATAGTTTTTTTCCATTGATTATTTGTGATTTATCAGCTCATAATATGTTTCATTAGTGGCTTCTTGCTATGGGATCACATTATTTGAACTAACCTTCATTTTAACCAAGTTCCCTTTAGATTTTTCCATTGACTTTCTTGACTTTATTTCCTTTTTTTATTCTTTCTGCATGACCCATACTTTCTTGGCATGATGTTGAACCTGCAATAAAGAAAAATAACATTGAACCTGCAATGTATAAATTTTCAGATCCGAACAAAGATGGTAGCACCTGGTGGGGAAGCCCTGGGTGGAGTAATCGGCACTTTTCGGCACATGATCCAAACTGAAGGGTTCTTTTCCCTATATAAGGGCTTAGTGCCATCTATTATAAGCATGGCACCTTCTGGTGCAGTCTTTTATGGTGTGTACGATATATTGAAATCAGCTTATCTACACTCACCAGAAGGAAGGAAAAGAATTCAGCATATGAACCAACAAGGCCAAGAACTGAATGCTTTAGACCGGCTGGAGTTGGGTCCTATTAGAACCTTGTTGTATGGAGCTATTGCTGGTGCTTGTGCTGAAGCTGCTACATATCCATTTGAAGTTGTGAGGAGACAGCTACAGATGCAAGTACAAGCAACAAAGTTGAACGCAATGGCTACTTGTGTCAAGATAGTTGAGCAAGGAGGTGTTCCTGCGTTATATGCAGGACTCATTCCCAGCTTGTTACAGGTACATTAATGAAGATATCAGTTATTTAGTTTGCTAGTTGATTAGTATCATGTGGAATTTCACTTCTGTTTAACTGGGTGTACCCAGAAATGCTAATCTGCCAGATAAATTCAAATTGTTAGATAATGATAACATTATACTTTCCTTTTAATTGAACTATGGATCTGACCTGGTTGATACCTGGATTGGAATTTTATAAATATGACCTCCTTCCAGACCTTAGCAGACCTGTCTCAATTCCCTACAGGAAATCAATCACACATCATGGGGTTGGGATGAGGTGGTGGGGAGAATAATTCCACTCTTGGGGCACAGCCATTCCTGTACTCTGATTCCAAGATAATGGAAAGATGGTTTTAAAGTTTCAGGTTTTCCAGCTGAAAAATGTGCTTCAATATATTAAGCCTTGTTGATTTTTCCCTTTCACTATCAACCTTAGATATTTTATACACTTTTTTTTTTGCTCTTCAATGTTGGATTTACTGGGAAATGGAGTGTGAGAGATGGTAGAACCTTATATCGAGGTTATAGAATTGTAGCATTGATCAAAAAAAAAAAAAGGTTATAGAATTGTAGCTTCTTTTTATCATCATAAACTATATCCACTCCCCCTCTCAATCGAACACTGTACATACATGTACACACACTAACTGCATTCCAATGATACTCCAAACATTAGATGCTTTCAAATTTGGTGATCCCATATCCCCACTCCACTTTACTTTCACTTTCCTACACTCTAGTGATTTTTGACACATTGGAGTTGGTGGATCTCGGAGCCCATCTGAGGGGCTGACATTTGGACCATGCCTTTCTGATTTAGTAGCTGAACATCGAAGTTCCTCTTGATCTCTCCCTCCTTAGTTATCCCATGTCCTCGTAGAAATATCATTCTTAGATATTTAAACACTACAAACTGGGTTCAATGAACTATTCTCCTTGCTCATCATCTCAGTCTCAATTGATGGAGCTTAATATCCATCTACTAAAATGAATTGGATCCTGGACATCGGTTCCCTACTTCCCTTCTTTTTCTCTTTCAATACACAGTTTGCTGGATATGGTGAATATTAGTAAGGGTGTCAATGGACCGGTTTTGGATTGGACCCCGTCCACTCCAAAATCAATTTGGATGGATTAGACGAACCAACAAGACATATTGGATTGGACCAATCTGGTCCAAAATATTTATTAGATTGGGTTGGACCTGGTCCTGTCTGTAATAAGTTTATATTGGATTGGATTGGATTAAGCAAATATCTGTTCCATTGATATAAGATAAGAATATAGGTGTTAATGGATTGGGTTTGGGTTAAAACCAATCTAAATCGAAATGAATTTGAACAGATTGGACGATCCAGACATTGAATTGGACCAGTCTAAAATGGTCCAAAATATTCATTGGATTGGATTGGACTTGGTCCATTTATAATGGACTCACATTGGACTGGATCGGATTGGACCAAACCCAGTCCAATTGACACCCCTAAATATTAGAATGAGGAATGTACAGCTTGGCAATTAAGTGCTAACAGTGTTGCAGCGAACCAGCAACATAGATGTGCCAGCATTGAATTTTGTTGGCACTTACAGATTTACAGGGTATCAGCAACATCTTAGAAACAAAAGCTTCTGTCGTCATTGTATGATGCCATATTGACATCACATTGAAGCTACATGACCCTGTTTGTATGTTGAGCTTGCTTGACTAGGGAGAAAATATAAGGTTCCAGCCTAATGATCTGTAAGTGCCTGTCAAACCTCAGATGTTGGAAGTGTTCCTACTGGTCACTTGGGGGTATTGGTATATCCAAGTTTTATGTGGTGTGTACATGTTTGATGCAAGTATGCGAGCATTGTTATTTGCCATTTAGTAACCTTATCAATATTGGTCTGATCTGTGTTAACTCAGTGCCCTTCATTTGGAGCAAGGTTTGGCTGAACGCGACAGCTGTTCAGCAGGCTGTGGAACCAATGATAAGGTTCCATGCACTTAAATACATAGGACCCGCACCATTTACAGTGGGGCCCATGAATTTATTACTGGTGTGGAATCTCATCATTGGTTCCACAGCCTGCTGAACAGACACCGCGTTCAGCTAATCTGAATTCCTTCATTTGTCCTCACTTAAAAAGAATTAAGATTGTAATGATCCCATCAAAAGAGTTCCGTTCTCCAGCTTTTTTGTTTTTTTTTTTTTTTTGTGCGTCTTCCAACATGTTATGATAATTGTCAACAATGCATTCCATATCTTGAATGATGGTCTACCACTTTTATCCTTATGGAATGTCTGCTGCTTTCTCATCTTTTTCTAGTTCTTTTTGATTTTTCAGGTTCTACCTTCGGCTGCTATTAGTTATTTTGTTTACGAGTTCATGAAGATAGTTCTCAAAGTAGAATGAGCACAAACATTGGATCCTTGACCAAGATTTTGGACGATTGACATTAATTTTGAAGTTGAGCCATGGTGTATTTTCCTGGAGCAAAAATAATACTGCCGTTTCATCAAAAAAGGTAGTTCAAACATGACCCATACAGTCTGTTTATCATTTAACCATTATAATATATATATATATATACATTTTCAATATATTCAAAATCTTTTGTCCCTACTGTAAATGGAACCCAAAAAGAAAAGAGAAGGAAATTCAAAATCATACCAAGTATGATTGTCTTATTGATAATTACACAAGGAGAAGCAAGAAAAAGAATGAAGCTAGGCTAGACTGATGGATGCATATTGGTGGAATCACAAGCTTTTCGTAGTCAATTTGGATTTTAGATACTTAAGAGGGACCCAGCAGGAGACATGAAGCACTCTGACAGGTAGGGGTGTCAATTGGACCAGATTTGGTTTGATCCGATCTGGTCCAATATGAGCCCATTGCAAATGGACCATGTCCAATCCAATCTGATGAGTACTTCGGACCATTTTGGACTGTTCCTATTCAATGTCTTGACCGCCCAATCTTCTGTAGTTGATTTTAATTTGGATTTGTTCCAATCTGAACCTGGTCCATTGACACTTTTATTCTTATTCTTATCAATGGACCAGATATTGGTTCAATCTCACCCAATCTAATATAAATCCAAAGCAGCAGAGAGCTTTGGCTGTGGAGACCCAGGTTCAACGGTAAAATGTTGTATAGGGTTTGGAGGGTGTGAGGGAAGCAGGGTATCAAAAATGAACTGTGGATCGACCCCTTCCACAAGAAAATGCCATTGTCAATAATTTGGAGTGTGAACATGGTACCAAACACCACCTAAGTCTGGACTAGTCCAATTCAATGTCTTATTAATCAGGGTCAAACCCAAAACTGATCTATTGATACCCTTTAGACAGGGTTATTTAGGTTAATTATGTAAGGGGAGTGTAATTGCTAAATCCACTCACGGCATATTCTCACTCAAATAGTGGAAAATCCAGATTCTCKATTTGTCATCCATCCTGTCACTGTAAAGAAGCATTAATGAGGTGTTCGCCAATGTGAATGGTTTACTCTAAAGTATACGTTTGGCATTGATGGTGCAGATACAGCACTATTTTTTGAGAAAATGGTGTCTTTTTTTTGTTTGGAAATGTTGCTGTCAGATAGGACGTTTTCTAGAGCAACAACAATACTTTTTGTTTGGTATCAATGCTGCATATCTGTTTTCAGCACTGGTACCCATTATAGGAAGTCCATGTCACTGCCACATCATGTCCTCGGTTCTCGTTGGCAGCAACAAGCTCTAATGTGAGAAAATGTCAAATTTGGTGTTGTCCAAACCACGCTTGATTTCCAAAGCATAGCTTGGAGCACCGTTTTTATGGAAAAACGGTTTCAAGCATATTGACGTTTCCTAGAGTACTGTTTTTTTCGATGTGGCGCTGATGTATTATCGTTTTATGGAGCAACGGCATCGATGCCAAACARATGCTAAAATAAAAACAACCTGCCATGTCAAGAAAAGATGTAACAGTTGTTCCTAAATTAAAAACAACCATCCACGTTCACAAACACCCCACACTAGGTTGATTTATGGTTCTAGTTTCCATTATAAACATATAGTATTTGTGTTTCAATTTGCTGGAGGTTTTTTCTTTTTCTATTTTTTTTTGTGTGCAATAATTTTACTACTCACGTGTAATTTTAGATGCATTATACATATCAATTTATAATAAAATGATTTTCCATTCTTATATATTTTACATAAAAATGTAAATCATAATTGGTTCATATCCGGTATGTTGCTGCAATGGCAATGTATACATTCCCACAACTCAAGGTTTTTAAAACCAGACTGGATAGGAAACTATTATGGGGACCAGTTCTTGGGTCGAACAACCCATTCTGACAAAAAAAATGAAATTTTAAAAAAGCCAAAAAACATTGTCCAGGTGGGCCAGGTCAATAGTTTGATTGTTTGACCACCTGGGTCAGTGGTTTGATGACCAAATCAATGATTTTTGGACAAAATAGAAATGATTAGGTGATCGGTTCTTGATTTTTCCGGTCTGACTGTCTAGTCCAATACAATTTTGAAAACACTAGAATAACTTATTGCATAAAATAATATATATATATATATATATATATTTAAAACAAGTCTAGAAATTCTCTCTTTTTTTTGAATTTTTTATTTTTTTAATCCATGTTATTTTTGAAACAACCAATTAGAAACTTTACTTTCCCTAAAAAAATCTTCCTAAAATCTCCCCTCTCTCTCTCTCTCTCTCACACACACACACGTTCCAATAACCTAAATAATCTAATATCCTAAAATTTCTCCTAAACAACCTCCCCCACTATCCCCAATTTTCTCTTAAGTTATCTCTAATTTAGTAGAGAGTTTCTCCTAAATTATCTCTAATTCTTATTTATCTTCTCCCCTACATTTTATCTACATCTATCTAAAGAAAGTTTGAATTCAAAAATTTAATAATTATTTAAATATTCTAACAAAATTATATAATAACTTTAAAATATTTATTAAAAAGACAAAATAATTAATCTATTTAATAATATAATAATATTCATATTATTAATATTTATATATTTTTACAGGGTTCGTCATGAAATTATGTACAAACAATATAAATTATGATTTTCTAGATTATTCAATCAAAATGTTATTCAAATAATAAAAATCTAACATTAAAAATGAAATATCATTTAAATATTTCAATAACTAAACATCTTAAATAACAAAATATTAAAATCAATATTTTAAATCAATTAATAATATATTTTAAATAGTTATTGAATAACTTCCAATTATAATAAATAGATTAAGATTTTAAATATTTAGTTAAATAACTAAATATTTTAAATAACGAAATATTTAACATAACTAGATTTTAAATAGTTAAAATAAAAAAATTATGTATTAATAGCACTATAATTTTATGGATTATTAAATTCAGCAAGTAATTCATACCAATTAATAATTCTAGAAAATAACTTTCAAAAAATTTTTGTTTATTAATAATAATTTTAAAAACTTAATCTATATATACTAAAATTAATATTTATTGTATTTCAGTAATTATTTGTTTTTTGTGATAAATATATTTTCAATAGTTATGTATAAATCTATTTTTGTTTTGTTATTTAATAGAAAATTTTTAATAATTATTGGAGTTTAAACTATTATTATTTAGCTTTTTAAATTTAATTTATTGTGTATTTTTGCTATAACTTTTTAATAATTATTGGAGATTAAATTATTGTTCATAGGTTGGTCCGGTCCAATTGTAAGTTGTTTGGCCAACCAAATCAAACTGGTCAGGTTGGGGAGTTGGTCACTTAGGTTATATCGGTTTGGGTCAATTTTCGGTTTGGTTGGTCGGTTCAAAAAGATTTAAACTTAAAAAAATTAAATTTAAAATTAAGCTTAATTTTTAAAAAATTACAATGGTATTATTAAAAATTAAATTTATGATATAAAATATTTTAGCCTAAAAAATATTAGAATTTTCCCACTTTCCCATATTAAAAAAAAATATATCTAATACTAGAAATCGGGTTGGGAAATTATTGAACCAAAGATGATAAGAAATACTAGAAATCGGGTTGGTCAGTTTCATTAGTTTGATTAAGAATGGCAATAGGGCGAGGTAGGGATGGGGAACCTCTCCCCGTCCCCCGTCCCTGTGAAAATCCCCATCCACATCCCCGTCCCCATCCCCACTAACTGGGACAAAGTTATCCCCATCCCCGGGGGATCCCCACTCCCCGTGATTCTTTATAATGTCAACCATTATGTTTTTATTTTTTATTTTATTTAAAAAATAAAAATAAAATAACTAAAATTTACAATCCTATTAGAAAAGATTCAAACATATCCAACCATATTTTTAAAAGTATTAACATATAGACGTATGTGTACATACATCCCCACCAACCGGGCAAGGAGTGCTCTCCTCGCCCCCACCAATGGGGATGAAAATTTTCCCATCTCTGTCCCTATGGGGGGAGGGGGGGCAGAGAATCATCCCCATCCCTTCCCCGAATGGGGCAGATCCCCACGGGGATCAGGGAAATGGGGAAGATTGCCATCCCTAAGTTTGATAAACAACCATATCTAAAATTAATTATTGTTATCTTTGTATTATAAAACAAATTATTAAAAGTAGTATATAAAATATAAGTGATTATTAATTATTATATAAAGCAATTATATACTCGACTATTATTTATCTTTAATTTAACAAATCACATGCATCTCATGGGTCCCTGCTAATTAAATCCCCCCCCCCTAAAGTCTTATTTACTAAAAGGCACACAAAGCTAAAATCTTTCCACTTCAGCCACTCCAGCTGTAATCAAACGACTCCTAATTAATGTATTAAAAGCTTATTAATAGGCAATTAACATGACCCATAACTTATAATCCACCCATATTGACTCACCAACCCATCACGAATCCTTGTTAAAGGGTTATAATCCACACATATTGACCCTTAACCACCTTCACCCCACCTACCCTCATGGTCTCACCTATAAATACAAAAATGGGTCAGGATGGCACGTATGTTCAAAATAATAATTTTTAAGAGTAACATCTTTCTCAAGGTTGTCACATGGCATAAACAAGTCAGGTTGACCTGTATATTGAAAATAAGAGATTTTTGAGAGGAACACCTCTCAAGATTGCCATGTGGCAAAAATGGTCAAGGCAACCCATATACTCAAAAATAACAAATTTTGAGAGAATAATCTCTCAAGGATTCCATGTGAAAGAACCAGGCCAGGTTGATACATTTACCCGGAAAAAAAAAATTGAGATTCTCTCTTAAGATTGCTACGTGACAGAAATGGGTTGGGTTGACCTGTGTATCCGAAAAAAACATTTTTGAGAGAATCATCTCTCTCAAGACTACCACGTGACAAAAAAAAGGTCAGGTCAACTCGTATACCCAAAAATGCAAAAATTGTAGATAAATGTAGAAAATAGCAAAGAATGCAAAAAATATAAAAAATGCAAAAAAAAAATACTAGAAATTGTATGAAATGCATGAAAACACCAACAAAATGTAGAAAATATGCAAAAAAGCACCAAAAGTCATAGAAAATGCAGAAAAATACCAAAAATTTGCAAATTTGCAATAAAATACAAAAATGCAAAAAATGCATAATTTTTATAAAAGTGCTTTCGTAAAAGTACTGTGAAAGTGCTTTCATAAAAGTACTTCCATAAAAGTACTTTTATAAAACTTTTTATAGAAGTGTTTTTATGTGTTCATAAAAATGTTTTCATAAAAGTACTTTTATAAAGTGCTTTTGTAAAAGTACTTTCACAAAAGTGCTTTCATAAAAGTACTTTTCATAAAATTGCTTTATAAAATTGATTTTGTAAAAATGTTTTCGTGTGAAATTGCATTTGAATATGAAAGTTAATAAAATCTATTTTGTTTCATTTGTAATTACAAAATGAAATGACATGGTGGTTTGGATTTGTAATGAGATGTGTGTGCACTAAGAGACCCGAGTACGAGTCACTTAAATTGTTGTATTTTTTAGATTTTGTGAGTATAGACCCAACCCATCTTGACTCGTGCAAGAACAAAGAAAAAATATTATATATATATATATTGGACCAGGTCTTTTTGAGAAAGCACGAGCCCGAACCCGTGGGCCTAAAATTATGACCAAACCCAACTTAATAACGGGTTGAGCCAGGCCAGCCTGTCAAGCTACCCGAGCCATGAACAAGTCTATGTGCAACCCAACCCACCCTGACCCTTTTCTATTGACTCTAATGGGTTGCTCGACCTATATTGRCCTGTCAATAAAGTGGATGGGTATGAGTGGATTCCAAGGTCAAGATTGCCAGCCCTAGTTGTACATTTCAACATTTCTCAAGCATATGGAAATCATGATTCTAAGTAACGATACAATACGCCCGATACGGGGATATCGTATCGTATCTTTTGAAAAAGATACAGTCCAAAACGCCTGTTTCCAGGTGTTTTGAACCCCCAATTTTTTTAATAATAAAAAGCATGCTAAAAGCTTCCAAAAAAAATAAAAAATTCGGCCGTTTCCAAGTACCGATACTATACGACTCGATACTTTGAACCTTGATGCAACATTTGAAATTACCTTACAGAACTCTTCGCATTACGTATACTTTGAACCTTGACAAACACCAAGACTTAAGATACATGATTTACAAAAACCTGAATTCAACATATCTCACCTATAAAACAAAGGAAACAGTCCCTTGGTAACAGAAAAATTTATATATTCTACAGTTTTTCATTTGCAATACATTCTCTAACCACGGCTGTTTTCAATTCCAACCATCTCAAATCCCCATTACTGTTGCCAACCATACTGTTGACTGCGATTACCACCCATCATGTTCAGGCCTCCACTAGCATTTGAACCACCAACTCCATAAGGACCGTTTTGAGGGTAATTTGGACCACCAACTCCATAACTACCATTGCTGCCTCTTGGACCTGTAATAGGCAAGCCACTTGCAACATATGGAGGCCCCCGCCCTTGTGGTGGATATGGCCCGGTACTATGACCTCCACCTTGACCTCCACGATTTGGATTGTATCCACCACCTGAGTTTCCACTCGATGGGTATCTGTTTGGTCCAGAAGGTCCTTGGGGCTTCCCATAGTGGTGGCTGAGCCCTGTAACCACCGGTGGTGGGGGGTTATGCATGGGCAGATTAGTTCCCGGCCGAAGTTGTGGGTGCATTTGCCCAGTCTGTTGGATCGGAGGCAGGCGAGCATGCTGCGGTGGGTGCTGTAGCTTCTGCCTCTTTGCAATTTCTTCATGTTGTCGCTGCTGTTGGCGCTTTTTCTTTGTCTGAAACTCATGAGATGATTCGTATTTAGGTAAGCTGCACAGCCAAAATATTGTTATAATAAGAAATATAATAGAAGTATAGAACCAAAGATCAGGGTACTAAAGCTATTTTCTAGAGACGGCAAATAAAAAAGAACATGCTTAAATGATATATAGAAAAACTGAGATTAAAACAGCATCAAGAGATAAAACCTCTTTGGATCACAAGGTAAGGGGTCATTCCAGAAATATTCAGCATCAAGTGCATCCTTGGCAGATATTCGCTATGTAAAAGATAAAAATAAAAAGAACAAGAAAACTACATTAGTATGAAAAATATATGAAGACACAGAAAAGCAGATCCAACAAATATCAGACATCACTTCAAGAAAATTGAAGTCTAACTCGTATAGGTAAGAGGCAAACAATATACTGCAACTAGCTCTAGAATAAAGATTAATCCAATAATCCTGTTCGTTAGAGGTGTAAATTAGGCCGTGCTGGACCGACATGGCACAGCCCGCATGCAGCACCATGCCGGCCTGCAGGCCACAACTCCTTCCACTGGGATAATTTGGGGGTTGGCCTGGCATGGCCCACAGCCCGAGCCCAYGTGGGCCCATGCAGTGGGCTGAGCCTTGGGCCAGGCCGGGCTGCGGATCGAGCCAAGCTATGAGAGATCTATTTTTAAAAAATTTGAAAAAATGTTTAAATTTTTATTTTATATGAATTTTGATGTATACAATTGTTTATATATACAATAATTAAATAAAATAGTATAATAAAATTGAAAATAAAATTATATATATTAATATATTATATTATTATATAATTATATAAATATATATACTGGCCATGTTGGACTATGCCATCATGCAGGCTGCAGGCGGCATGGCCCGCTCAACCGTGCTGGCCCATGGACCTGAAACCCCAAGCCCAGCACAGCCCATTCCATCGTGCCCGGCACAGCCCGCATATTATCGTGCTGGGCTGCAGGTGGCACGGCCCAATTTACAGCTCTACTCTTCATATTAGAACTTCAAATTGGGTGATCATAATGATAACCTAAACAAGAAAAAGGAAAAGGAGACAACTTAATGCATAAACATGAATATCCTGTAGTATTACATTTTTTAATATCCTTGCATAAACATGAATATCCTGTACTATTACATTTTTAATATCCTAAACATGCATTACAATTCGATGTCTCCAAATCTGGTTCAAGTGTCATTTTCACCCTCATTGGTCTTTTGCTCAAAGCTATTTATCCAAGCTCATCTTATCATTAAGACCTTAGAGTGGAATAGCAAGACCCGAGCACTGTCTTTATCTGAAGGACAGCCCAGCACATGAGGCTTCCCACCAATGCAGGGTCTGGGGAGGGACAGATGTACACAGCCTTACCCTTGCATATACAAAGAGGCTATTTCCAAGATTTGAACCCTGGTCACCCAGGTCGCAATGGAGCAACCCAACTGTTGCACCAAGGCCCACCCTCTGTCTTAATCTGAAGTTTAAACCACTTAAACCTGCCTTACTTGGGCAATGGAGAACCATTATCTCACTAATTAAAAAATGGAGTTATTTCTGATTATCACAACTTAGTGAAGACAATGATCAGTGAAAATCCAATTTGTGAGGTTTAAAACACGGGTAAGATTAAAAGCAAAGGTTTAGTATGGAGTCAGCAAATAGAAAGAGCAGACTGCATTTACAACAGTGGTTCAGAAACTACTTGAAATCATAACCTCTAAATGAAGAGAAACTGGGGAAGGAGGATGAGGAATATTTAGAATCCCCACAAGTCAACGTAAATTCATAGAAGTTCTTCAGAAAGGGGATATGATGATTTTCTTTTGTTCAATATAACAACTTGGTTGTGAGACGTTGGAGTCTTGACATCTCTGTGAAAGAAAAATGAGAAACACAGAAGGCATGAATTTCACAATGTGAACATCTGTTCTCACTAGCAAATGTGCATGTGCTGTGCTCATGACAATTTAGATGAAGATGATGATGGCAATAATGTGTATCCAAATTTTTCTACAATTTTTTATATTTGTATGTCTAAAAATATTCTTGTTTATTACACTTATTTTTTATATATTTTTGCTTTTGTTGTGCTTTCATCTTTTTCTGTTTTTACTATTTAGTTATGATATCATGGGTTAAGCCATTTGACATGGATGATTGAGTTGCTTTCTCACCACCTGGAAAAAAGAACATTTCATTTTTGGGTTAGTTTAAAAAAGCATGGGTTTTATATTATTAAAAGTATTGGATATAGATAAAACTAATAATTTATTGGTAAGAAAAAAATACCTTAAATATAGGATAGAATTTAATAAGAGAAATTGGGAGTTAATATCTTAAATACAAGACTTAATGAGAGGGAATTGAATGAGGTGAATTAGAGAGAATAAATTCAAAATAGGGGTATTTTAGCCAAAAATCTACAAGCTCATTCATACTTTTAATAGTAGTATAAATATCAAGTTGTTATGGGCCTGGGAATAGGATCTCGTCACGGGTCGGTCCACGGGGAAAACCTCCTATTTTCCCTTGTTCCTCCCTGCTCTTGATGAACCTATCTTGGCGCCCTAATGGTGATTTGTCCAAGAGATCACC